CCTGCGGCCCCGGGGTCCCTGCATGGGGGGGGGCTGCGGGGGGCGCAGGGGACCCCCGCGCTCGCCCCTCCGGGGCCCTGCCACGGCTCCGCATTCGTCTAAAGGCCGCGACACGCGTGTGCACGCGTGTGCACGCAGCATACGTGCGTGCGTGTGGGAGCAGCCGTTGTGCGGGGGCGTGGGAGGGACGTGGGTGCTGCGGGGGGTCGGATGCTGTGCGTGGGGAGGGAGCAGGTCCCATGTGCCCGTCTCCCTCCCTGTGCCCCCACGCACGTCCCCGCGCGTGCCCCCACGCCTGCCCGTGCGGCCCAGGAGCCGCGCAGGGGGGCTGCGTGTGCAGGGCGGCCTGGCGCTCCCTGGGGGGGGTTTGCTGCGGTCGGGGGTCCCCGGGGCCGGGTCGATCAGCGGGAGCTGGTGACAACACGCTGTTTGTTTAACGTCCCCGGGGGCCCCGGGACGCCGGCGGCGCGGGCACGCGCACCGGGTCGGGGGGCTCAGATGTGGCTTCTGTCGGAGGCGGCTGCGCTCGGCCGATGCTGCAGTTCTGGGGCTGACCGTGGTCCCCGTCCCCGTCCCCAGAGCTGCCGCCGGGCTGGAGGGAGCTGAGGGGTGCGCGGGGTGCAGGGCCCCCCCAGCCCTGCCCTGCTCTGCCCAGGCCATGGCGGCCCTGGCCAAGGTGGCATGGCGCGGCGTGGTGCGGCGCGGTGGGCGGCATGGTGGAAAAGGCCGATGGAGCGGGACGGACGGCGCAGGGGGCCAGGGCAGCGCAGCGAGCGGTGGTGGCGTGGGCAGCGCCAAGGATGGTGGGCTGCGGTGCGGTGCGGTGGGGTGCGGTGCGGTGGGCAGCATGGATGCTGCTTCTCCACCCACTGATCTGCTGCAGCATCTGCCCCGCCGGGACCTTGCCGGACGGATCCAGGCCCCACCAGTGGCCTCGGCCGGTCCCGGGGTGCCCTGGGCGGAGAGGGGAGCTGTTGGGTGGCGGAGGAGCCGGGCCCCCAGCGCCCTGAGCCATCGCATCCCCCAGCGTGTGCCCACGGCCCTGCCTGGGATCCAGCCCCGCTCCGCGGAGCCCCGTGGGGGGACAGCGGGTCCCGTGGGGCAGCGACCGTCACGGTGCTGGCGCGTGGCTGCGGGAGCATAGCTGCAGCCCTGGCCCCCCCCTTTCCCGCAGCCCTGGCCCCCCCTTTCCCCGTTGTGTCTGGACGCTTCGCAAATGCAGG